CCCTCTCCTGCAGCCCAGGCTTGTGAGCTGCCCGAGTCCCTGCTGAGCTCCAGTACCTGGCTCTGGTGGACACTGGAACCTTCAGGTCACTCCMTGCACCTAAGCACAGCCATGCCCCTTTCTCCTGAGCCCACCCCGACCTGTCCTTGTGCTTTCCAGCACAACATCCCCCAGGGACAGAGCAGCCCAGCAAGTCACTGCACTGAAGGGGAAGTGGGGCCCATGAATGAATGAATGAATGAATATGCAGTACCCTCTGCTTTGCTTCCCTCTGGGACTTCACARAGTGGCTGACACAGCCATCACAACCGACCTGCTATCAAACAGTCTACTTTACCCAATAATGAGATTAAAATAGCAATGAGCCCGAGGTTAGCATCAAGATATAGTCACTTGCTGTCAGCACGGCAGAGAAGACTTTTCAGTTCCATGCACAATGCCAGGTGACAAATAGGACACAATCAATAGCAGAGGTCATTGCTCACCCAGCCGGAAAGTACCCGTGAGTGTGGCAGGGAAGAACGGGGGCAGATTTGCCCTGATCTTGGGGGGAAGATGTGAATTCATYCCAACTGGCAGAACAGTTAGGCTGTGCTTTCAACATTCTTCCTTGCACGACATTCTCACTTTGAACCACAGGTATAGAATTAATGCCTCCTTCTGCAAGGGAGAGGAGACAGGAATACAAAACCACTTCCATTAAACCTTCTGGTTGACAGAAGACTTCAGGTGTGAATTGGATAAGTGTCACTTAAATTCTACGTGATAAATTGCTAGCTGCAATAAGCCATTAACTTATGCCAAATTGATTTAATTCAGAAATGAGATCTCACTKTTATCAACAGAAGAAGAGGAGAGAACACGCCGCGGGTACCCAGGGKCTCGCTGCATGGCTCTGTAAACACAATGACTCGGAGGGAAAAATCTTCCGTCACCCCTCGGGCTTGGAGCCGGGACATACCCCTAGGGTGTGCGAGGGGCTCAGGGACGGTGCCTCTGTTCGAGGCCACTTTGTTTCCGAKGAAGGGGAGAGGATCTGGGGAGGGAGCTTGCAGGAGTGTTCGAAGTGCAGGCACTCGCAGTGGGGTGGTGGGACGTGAGCCCCACAGTCCGTACCGCACATCCCTGCGAGGCRCACGGCGCAGGGCACGGAGGCGACCCGGGTGGCAGAGCCCCGAGTCCGCTCCCCRGCACGGGTGACAATAGGTCTGACCGAAAGCACCGCACCCCGTTCCCGGCGCTGTCCCAGCTCGGTGCTCGCTCGCACCGGAGCTCCGCGCGCATCCCGMCGGCGGCAGGACCGGGCATCCCCGTCACCCCCGGTCTTTGTCTCCTCCGGGGCGCACGGAAAGTGGGAAAGTGTCCCCCACTCCTTCCCAGCCCCTGGAAGAGCAGAAGGGAATGAGCTCGGCGGAGCATCCACCCCCGAGCCCGGGGCGGGGTGAGCACGGCGCTGCCTTACCTGTCCGCAGGTCCCGGTGTGGCGGAGCCCGGCAGGCAGGGCAGAGCWGTGCGAGCGGCGGAGGGGAGGCAGGGCTGCGGGGGGCAAGGGGTGTTCAAACCCGACAGCAGGAGGAGGAGGAGGASGACGAGGAGGAGGAGACAGGGGGAAGGCAGTGGGGGAATGTCGAGAGGAACCGGGGACGTCGGGAATCCCGGGGGATTGGGGTGCATGGTGCGGGAAGAGCGGGGCTGGGAGGGGTTTCGGGAGTGCGGGGAGGGGGGCACAGGGGGAGTGCAGGGGCATTCCAGGGGCGCAGGGGTGCCCGGACCGAAGGAGGAGATGGGTGCGGGAGCGCAGGGTGAGGGTGCAGCAGCGGTCCCTGCCCCGGGCACGGACGGGGCAGACAAAGGACGGAGACAAAGGCGTGGCAGCCCGGGGCGGGGGCGGCGGCGGCGGCGGGTGAGCCCCGCTCACCTGCGGGGCGGGGCAGGGCGGGTTCCGCGCCCCCACGGGCTTCCCCCGCGGTACGGTCAAGGGGCGGGAGAGCCGCTGGGCTGTCAGCATGCCCCGCTCCCTGCACCGAGCCCCGGCCCCGCCGCGCTGAGGGAGCTGCGGGGGCACCGGGACCCCGCGGGGCAGCGCCACGGCCCCGTCCCGCTCCTCCCGGCCGCACGGGGGCGCTCGCCAACCTGGCCCTGACGTCACTCGCGCGCGCCGCCTCAGCCCCCGCGCTGGGCGGGAGTGACGGGCGGCGGGGCCGGTACGGACCGGGGACACCGCGGGGACACCGGGGGACAGCGGGGACAGCGGGGACACCGGGTGTGGGCGGGGACGGGGGGACACGGGGGCAGTGGTCGTGTTGCGCGAGTGTGTGCCCTGGGCGGCTGTGGGGCCGTGCGAGGAGCCCCGCTCCGGGAGAGAGCAGCGGCGAACGGGCGGATCCAGGCTCGGGAATGCCGAGGAAAGGCCGTGCCGTGCGTTGAGGGGGATCGGGGCGCTCGAGGGWTCCATCCCCATCCGCCCTCCCTTCTGCTCGGGCCGCTGACATACCGCAGGGAGCGGGGGTGAGTGGTGCCGGCTGCTCTGGGCTAGTGCGGGAGCCCTGCTGATAGGCTCGGGGAGGATACTGGTTACAGTACATCACATCCCATCACTGGAAGTGTYCAACGCCAGGTTGGATGSASWTAGTGCCAGTGTGGGATAGTGGAAGGTGGCCCTGCCTCTGGCACGGTGTTGTGATAAGATGAGCTKTAAGGTCCCTTCCAACCCAAAYTGTTTGGTGATTCAGTCTCCCATCCTGCACAGTCCTTGAGCATGTGGTGTCTGATTCCAACTTTGTCACTGCGTGGAAGAGTGGATCTCTTAGGTTACTGAACCCTCGCTTTAAGGAGGGATGATATTTAAGTGAGGATGTGAACCTAAACCTCTGAAACCAGAATTGTTTGTCATAGTCTGTRGATCTTCTGTATTAATTTGAGAAGAATATTATTAATTAACTGTGACGGGGGTGCTAGAGAGATGCTTAACTGTCTTAATTTTATTTTGTGTAGCAGATGACTAATATTCCAGGAAGTCTTTGTATACAGYGGTATAACTCATTTAAAACATGGGGATGAGAGCAGCTCCCTGTTTTGTGAAGGTTGAACTAATTCTTTGTAGGCCTGAAAAACATGTTTTGTTGCAGCTGAAACAGCTTGAAAATCAGTTTCTGAAGAGTTGATGGGAACATCAGTGGTTTGTCAAAATCTGTGTAGGACCCCTGAGCTACTGTGGAGCCAGGGTGCTCGAGACGCATTTAAAGACCTCTACAGGTGTTGCTGTTAGTGGTTAGTTTTGCATGAAGAGTGTGGATAAAACAATGAAACAAAGTTTCTAAGAGATAATTAACTTCACTGTGACTTAAATTGTGTAAGGCATGGAGTCTACTCTGCAGGGAAAGCTGTTGGAAGCTGAGCTCCAGTGTCTGCTGTTTGACTGTTGGCTTGTGAAACAATTTTTCACAATAATGTGCCGCCTCTTGTAGCTCACAAATTTCAGGCTCCCCAGGGAAGTAGTCATGGCCCACGCCTGTCAGAGTTCAAGTGCTCGCTGGATGATGCTCTAAGTCACACAGTTTAGTGTTAAGTGGTCCTTTGAGGAGCAGGGAGTTGATCTCYRTGATCCTTATGGGTCCTTTCCAACCTGAGGTATTCCATAATCCTGTGTGACAAAGTCCATGTTGGCTTAATTATGTAGCTCTGCAGAGTTTGGGTTSYGTGCGACTGCAGAGAGAAACTTGGAAGCTGTTGGCAGTGGCAGCAGATGAGAATCTGTGTGATGGTGTGTCAGTGGAAGATGCAGCTCCAAGCCTGGACTAGCAATGGTTCGTGGTGGTGGTGTTAGAATAAACCCCAAAACCCCAGCAGTCCTTGTGTTATAGCAGGAGACTTAGAAAAGTCAAGTATTATGAAGCTTTAAAAAAAAAATATTTCATTTGTTACTAAAAAGTGTCTGAACTTTCCTGTGTCCCAGAAAGGGAGAGAGACTGAAAATCCCAGGAATTAAATTATGAATAATCTCACATCCTGAGGTGTGAGCACTGGTTTGTGCACTTKTGGTAATCCCTGAGGATGTGCTGTGSTTATGGGGGGTGCTCACACCTCTCACTGTGGGCTCACAGGGTCTTGTGAATGGCTTCATGAACCAACCAGATGGCTGATACAGGAGCCAGAGGATAACCATTTTTTCTGTGGTTACTTCCAGGGCCTGGGGAAGATGACCACTCTCACACGGCAGGACCTTAACTTTGGGCAAGGTAATGTGTTGTAGTAAGCTGTAACTAGTGCTCTTGTGAGGCTCATCCTTGGCATTGAGTTTGGGAAGTGTTGTAGGGTTGTTCTATCCCTAAACCTACAGCTAAGAGGAAGCAGGTGAAATTTATGCAGAAAAAAATATCTATAAAAAAATTCCTCTTGAGTCTATGGTGTTGCTCGGCTTCCCCCAACCCTGTCCCAGCATTTGTTTTTGTTTTTCAGTTGTTGCAGATGTTCTTTCAGAATTCCTGGAAGTGGCTGTTCACCTCATCTTGTATGTGAGAGAAGTTTACCCTATTGGGATCTTTCAGAAGAGGAAAAAATACAATGTACCTGTCCAGGTAGGAGATTTTCCAGGAAGCTGACAGCCACGTGGACAAGCAAAATAGCAAGGATCAGTCAACACTCACCAGAACAAACTTACACTCTGGAAGTGATTGTTTTAATGTATTGACTTACTTTGAAGAACTTAGTTCCTGTCATAAGAAAGAACAGCCCCGTAGCTGAGGATACAGCAAGTGCTCATGGAACAAGCAGATCACAGACAACAGTAGTAGAAGGCTGCCCCAGCTCAGTGAGGTAACAGGAACGCATGTTTCCTAGGAAGCAGAGATGTTTGGATTGTGCCATTCCCAATACACTGTTGTGGGTGCACATTCCTGATACACAACAACTGTGTGGGTGCWGAGATCTGCCTCAGCTGATTAACCCTTCTGTTAAAGAATTGCTGGTTTGAATGGGCAACTCAGCATTTTTCACCACTGTGTGAAGCATGATTTGGGTGCCTTGTACACAGTGGTGCTTCTGTTTAAATCATCTTCCCTTTTAGCATTGTCCTGGCCATCACGTCAAACACAGCTCTGACTCTTCCCTGTGTTTGTTACAGATGTCCTGCCACCCAGAGCTGAACCAGTACATCCAGGATACGCTGCACTGTGTAAAGCCACTGCTGGAGAAGGTGAGCTCCGACCAGGGACCTGGGCAAARGTACTGCAAGTGGATTTGATAGAAAATAAGAGAACATAAATATTATCTTAATTGCAACATTTGTTTACAAATTTACCCTATACAATTTACTAGCTGATAAAAGTTCCTAACACAACTAAAAACACTATAACCTTTCTGTGGCAGTTAAGACCCTGCCTTKCCCATKTACCACAAAAGGACCAGTATAATTYCAGTATCATCCTACCATTCTGCTTTACAWTCCATCTCAGTTTAAGCACTCGTTGTGGCAAAACAGTTTGAATGCTCTGCTGTGAGCCAGCAAGCAAAGGTAGGTGTGGACTCCAGGTTTTACAAGAGAAAGGTGTGACTGATGAAACATTTCAGGAGACTGCTGGCAGGTTTTGTGTGCCTTGCTTCTTACAGACAATTTTAATGCACATGTAGAAAATGGAATTAGGTCAGTTTTACACTGTGGTTGTACAAAGCTGCTCTGTTTGGACAATGGTCAGAGCATATCTTAACTTCATCAGTGTACATCCCACAGTCATGCAGTAATATGGCAGTGCATTTCCTCCTTTGCTCCAAAATGGGATCTAGAGGAACGCACAGTTTAGCACACCTAATCTCCCTAGCCTTAGCCACAAGCTGGCAGTTTAACATCCAGCAAGAAATGGCTTTGCAAAAGCACTCTTTCTGTTTGCTGAAAATAATCTGAACTCGGGTTTTGGATAAGGTTTTGTGCTGTGAGCCCCAACAATTGAGTGTACTCCCACTGCATCACAGCATGCAAAGCACACTGTGGGCAGCAGACAACTCATATTAAGGAAAGGATTTTTCTATTTCGGTTCCTGCAGAACGATGTGGAGAAAGTTGTGGTTGTAATCCTGGATAAAGAGCACCACCCCGTGGAGAGATTTGTCTTTGAGATCACCCAGCCACCTCTTCTTTCCATTAGGTGAGGTTCCCACTCCTGCTTGCCCATGGCATCCAGCACGTGGCTGTGGGAGAGATTCTGGGAGCAACTTCAGGCCTTTGCTGCGTGCCACTAACAGCTGCTGTCTCCTCCACAGCTCTGAGTCCCTGCTGTCCCAYGTGGAGCAGTTACTGCGTGCCTTCATCCTGAAAATCAGTGTGTGYGATGCTGTGCTGGACAACAACCCCCCAGGTAAATGTCACTTGGATCCAAACAGCATAAAGCCAGGCATTGCTTAGCTTGGCCAATCCTCTGGGAGCTGTGCCCTGAGCTGGAACCTGCCACTTCTCTTAGGTTGCACCTTCACAGTTCTGGTTCACACACGGGAGGCTGCCACACGCAACATGGAAAAGATCCAGGTGATAAAGGTGAGTGATATCCTTGGGCATCTGGTTGTGTGTGAGAAGATGCAGACCAAAGATGGGGCAGTGCAGAGTTTTGGTGTCTCTCAGGTTAAGGCTGAGAGATGTTTTGAATGTGTAGGTTGGTGTCACATGAGGCACATCATAATTATACTTTGAATGTGGTGAAATTGTTTATGCTGGTGAGCTGACAACATTCTTCACACAGCCACAAGTGCAGACAACTTCAGGTCTTGAAATAGATTGTAGCAATACTCCCTGTGCAGTGCTTCTCAGGCATGTAGAAATACTCAGATGTGTAGAATAGATACATAACTTTAATCAAGAGAAAAAGCAGGCCTCACCCATCATCCATGTGTGTGGATGGCTGATTTCTTATAAAGAGCAAGAAAGACTAAGATTCAAGTAACGAGTGGGTTTGGGGGCACAAATCTATTCTTTCTTACAGGAAACTGTGCAGAACACTTTCTAAAGCAAGATTATTTTTAAAGAATCTTTGCTTAGWTACAGGAAAACTTTTTTCCTGAGCCATGTTATTTTAGGTGTCCTAAGGAACAACAAATAAGGCTAGCAAAGTATAAAATTATTTCAAAATGGAAGTGTGCTCTGTACTGCTCAGTAATGGAAACTTGGTGTAGTGGACCCACCTTTAGACTTCCAAGGCAAGGTGGAAATCCATGCCCTGAGCATTCTGGAGTTGCAGTTAAATGCTGGTGTAATGAACTGGGCATGGTAGTTCAGGACACCTGAGAGTGTATCTTTTAAAGAAGTGAAATGTCACCATGTGAAGTGGGTTGACCTCATAGTTTGATGCTGTAACATAAGATAATGATGCTGTCAGGGCCAAGCGTGTAAGTTCTGCTGTTGTGGAAGGTTTGAATTACCTGTTCCTTCCTTCAGCCACTCTCTGTCTCTTTCAACTTAACACAGAACCAGTGCTGAGGAGGAGCTCACCTTACAGCACTGCCAGGTTCTGCCAGTAACACTTTGTGTTCCTGCCCCAGGATTTCCCRTGGATCCTCGCTGATGAACAAGACGTGCACATGCACGACCCCCGGCTTATCCCSCTGAAAACCATGACATCTGACATCTTAAAGGTGAGCAGAGCATTCTGACCAAGAGGTGCTAAACCTGCTGTAGTTCTGAACTTTGTCTGCTCTGACACCAGCTCTGCAGTTTTCTGTGGTGTAACAACTTTAAATACTGCTGAGCAGTAGTTCAGTCTTGCAGATGTCTCTGCCAGTAATCAAAGCAGGGCAAGACTCCTTGTAATAAAATAGGAAACCTGGTTATGGGGGAAGGTATAAATGCTTCCTCTTCAGCCTGTTGCAGGCTTTTTATTTCCATTCACCTATGTGTATACCATTAGGACTGATGTTTGTTTCTCTCTCCAGATGCAGCTCTATGTAGAAGAGCGAGCTCACAAAGGCACCTGATTKCAAATCTTCCTTGCCTTCAAGCCTCATCTGATCTTCCAGTGGAGTAAGATCTGTCACAAACTATCTTGATAACCATTCCTTCAGCTGGCCTTTTGGGTGAACGTAGAGCAGCTGCTGCCCCTTTATTTCAAGTGCTCTTACCACTGTATCTAGAACTGACTTGGAATGGGGAGCCAGAGCCTGTTCCCATGTTGACTCCTGTTTGAGAGTACAGGTGTTGTTAYAGTGCATCCCTGGGGACTCAGTGCTTCAATCCTGTTCTCACCTGAAYGGGGCAGCTCCACTGCACACGGGCATGGACAGACAGCAAGGTGCTGTCACATGGTCCACGAGAGCAACACTTGTGCTAAGGAGGAGTGAGGCCTTATGTATTGTCTGTCCACTGTGACTGTCCTAAGTAGTCTTCAATAAATACTGTTTTACCCCAGTTGAAGGGGGCTGAGTTCTGTCAAAACCAGGCTCCCTTCTTCAGTGAGAAACTATTTTTATTTTCTGTGGAGCTTCCACTGCTTTTCTTTTTTCCCATGTGGACTCTGTCAATTCCTATGAAATGCTATACAACCTTAGTCTCTCCCTTTTCACCCAGAGGTGGCATTAGCAAGAGGGAATTTGTCTGTCCAGTAAGGACACCTGCCAAGTATCCTACTCCTAACAGAGAACAGGCAAGGAAAGCACTGTWAATCCTACACCTGTCAGAGGAGATGCAGCATGGCCTGAGCATTGGTTCCAGGTATATAAAGGTGGCAGACACAGTTCACAGTGAGCTCAGCTTGTTGGTCAGAGAATTTGGTACAACAGGCTGTCCAGCATCTCCTGCTTCCTCCAGGTAACAAGTGTAGGAACAACTATAGATGGAAGCTGGGCACTGCTTTAACATTTTATATTGGGTTACACTGCTCAGTATAAACTAAGTTCTTTGAAAGCACAGAGGTGATGTGGGAAAAGCCMAGCAYATTTAAAAGGCACTTGTGTTGTTARGCAGCTGCCTGAAGAGACTTCTTATCTCCTCTTTCTCTACCTGTTTATTCAAACACCAAGGGACTGTTGTGGATAGGAAGGCAGCTACCATTTTGGTCATACACATTTAGAGAAAGGGTGAGGAATTCAGTATCAGTGACACAGCACTTAGGAACATCAAACAGTTTCCTGATGCTATGAAGGGTCTGATACAGAACATAAATCTCAATGGAATGTYAAAACTGAAACAGGGAAGAAAATACCATACAAAGCAATGTGTAGCAGAGTCCTTGTAGATAGCATTGGTAACCTGAAATTAAACATTTTAGCCTTATCTTTCTTAAAGACACTTCCTTGTTTATGGAACTTRAGACTGTGTRTGATAGCACAAGAATGTATTAACTRGAAAAGATAGATCTTATATTTAATTATCCCAGTTTTTCTCTGGAAGGGCACCAGTAATTGGAGTAGCATCCATGGTGGATGAGGACGGAAGATGAAGCCGTTCCAAAGAGCTGGGCCTGCAGAAGTTCTGCTGTGAACAACAGCTGCAAGGCAAGCTAGGGCACAACCAGAGAGTACAGGCAAAAAGTGCACCTGAGACCACCTGGTTACAGTCCTGAGGTAAAAGCAAAGCCTTATGCTGTACTTCATAATGATGTCTGGGGCCCAATGGTGATGCTGCTGTTTGTCACACGGATCCCATACCATCCTGCCCAGTACTGGGTGTCCTGGCCTCCGTGCTGAAACCAGATGTAACGAACTCCAGCTGGGTAATTCTGGAACGTGTGAGACATCTGGAGAGAAAAGAAAAGATAATTCCTCTTAATTTACCTAAATAAATCAGCACTCACATAGAAGCTCAGAAACTACAGTGTGTGAGTCTTCGAATGAGCTTTTCCTGACACCAAGGTATCTTTCATTGAAAGTGCACCATACCCCATTTTGGGGGGAGGGGAAGGGACCTTTCTCACTCAACCTTCTCCTGAAAATCCTCTCTGATTTAAGAATCAAGCTTAATGTTAGTTTAAGTGTGTGTATAAATAACATCTAATGCAGAATCTACAGCAAATCAAACCAGTTTAACACTTGTAACAGTTTAAGAAAAGTTAAGTCTTCAATACTTGGCCATCCATGCTGTAGTTTTAAAMCAGCTTTTTGATCAAAAAAATGCCCGAAATCTGCTCTTGCAACTTACTTATTTAGACAGAATCTTACATAAAACCAAGAAACAATTAAAAGGACTCCACTAAAACAACACAGAAGSCCACAGGATACTCTCCAGAGAATGCTGGGTTCCTTAAAAATTGCACCTGTCTCATTCAGGACACTGCTGCCTCTTCAGGATCGTCAAAAGCAAGGACTGACTCACCTTCTGTATAGAAGAGGCTGAAGAGCAGAGAAAGTCCACTGGCACTTTTGATCAAGTAAGACATGAAAGACAGAAGTGTCACAACACTGCTGTAAAGCTCCTGCTTCTGGGGCTGCTGCTTACCTCTCTCCACTTGGCATCACTCCACTGCTCAATGACCACTGGCTCAGGCTGGAACTCCTCCAGGACGATGTAATCTTTTGAGAGCAGCCTCACTGTGAGCTCGTAGCGGCACCCGCAGTCAAACCTGGCAGCATACCTGGAGAGGCAGGAGGAATCAAGGAGCAACACTTATATACAGCATGAAGTTTTCTTTATCATTCAAAAACAGTCTCCAAGGGGATCCCTGTCTGCAGAGGAAATGAAATGTAAGCCCCATAGCTGTAGAGAAGTTCTAGAACTTGGAGCTATCCCATCCTTAAATGGATCTCCACCTTGTAGGCCACTGAGTAAGTTTAGATTTAGCTTACTCTTTACTCAAGAACTACAACTCCCAAAAGATAAAGAACTGATTTTATAGCATGAAGAGCTCCAGAAGCCTAGCTTACCTCTAGACCAATGCCGAAATTCTGATTTTCAGTGCCTTCACTTACCAGTCCTTGACTATAATTTCAGGCCGTTTCTCATCCATCAGCTCATTCCAATAGCCTTCGTTCTTCAGGGTAATGAGTTGAGACTTGAAGCATGGYCTGAAACAGACATAGAAATACAGTTCCACAGAACACCTCTTCCTTCTCACTGTCCTMTCCCTGACAGCTTTAATGCCCACCCAGACCCTGAAGGTCCATAAATCTGACCTAGCTAAACCCTGCCTTATCCATAGCCAGAACCTGACAAGGAAGTGAATTGAATTAGCTTCACCCTGAGATAAAAGGAATAGTTACCTATAAGCTGGATTAAGAGGTGTCCTTGCACTTACATACTGGTGGGAGGAAACCAGTGTCTGGTGCATGTAAAAGCTGTTGATCCTCCTCAGCATTTATTACAGGTTGTTARCATGACACACCTTCCACTCTTGGAGGTTACAGAGCTTTGATCTTATCAGGCAAGTGCAGTTGACTGAGTATGCCAGACGTTTAACCTTTCCTTTTACTGCCTTTGGGAGAGGAGAAGCAGGGATCCCATGTGGACTGTTCTAACTATAAAAATTACAGGATGTTCCTGGTAGGGACAGAAATTTAGCACCTGCTGTGATCAGTTCTCTCAGCAGTACCCATCTGTCCTTAGATTAAATGGCATAAAGGGTTAATGAAGCTCCTTCCTTTTGCCACAGGGGAGCTAAGGTTCAGTAACCTGCCACTAGCCTTCTAACTGTGGTGCCTTTTCAGATGGGAGGAAGCAGGTTTCCCAGATCCAGATTACTGGAATCCAGTTCTTACCCATATGAAGTGACAAAGTATTTGTGTACTGTGGGGTCTTGCATCTCAGTTCCATGAGTTCCAGGCAGATCCTCAATTTTCCATTTATCTCCTTCGTTAGCATCAAGTGTCCARTGCTGGAAGTTCTCTACAAACACAGGTGTCCAAGGTGAGGGTTAGGACCTCACTTCCAACTACCAGCATGATCTCAGCTTTCGTTAGAGGCAGCAACAGGAGAATTCTAGGAAGCTACTTGGTGTTTTCAGAGCCACTATATTTTTCCTACAGCTGTAAGTGAACTCCTGTCATTATGCTGCCATTACCTTTAATGTGGCTGTCAGCATCTAGGATAGTGGGTAGCAGCTTTCTGACCTCATCCGAAAATTATTAGCAGCAATAAAGTAGGATTACTGTAGTCATATTAGCCAAGTCTTCAGTAACAAAAGTTCTCTAGCTGCCCAAATGTTTAATCCCAATACCTGAYGATTTGACTACCACATTGTACTTGCCGTCCAAATTAATTGTCACTGCCTGCAGTGCTGGGGCCTTATGACTCCAGACGTTTCTGTTTGAAACCACAAAGTATTGGTAAAAACACACCTATTTACCTACAGCAGTTTTATTGCAGCAGTTGGGCAGTAAACCTGATCCAGCAGAGCTCCACCAGTAGCTGGACCACAGCAATAGCAGTAATTGAGTCATGCAAGACTGACTCATTCCGACAGCTCGGAAACTCTTAGCCCTTTATCATTAATAATGAAACAAACCTTCAGCACGTGGGTTTTTGATTAAATTTCTCTTCAAGAGGCAGAGCATATAGAAGRTCTTCCAGTCAGAGATGCTTCTGTCCAAGCTCTGCCGGTAAAACCCATCGCGCTGGCAYTTTCGCTTCCACAGGGTGGTCAGGTCCACCACGTACCGCCACTGCGAGCACACCAGCCGGCAGGTGCGGAGCAGGTCCCGGGCGGGCAGCAGCGACAGCAGCTCCACCAGCACGTCCTCGGGGAGGTCGCCGATAGTTGTCATGGCAGACGGCGGGCCGCAGGAGCGCGATGGGTAATCCCCGGWACGACGGGCCGAGCTGCCGGCAGCAAAGGCGGTTTCCTCTCGTTACGGAGAGAGGCACAGACAGACAGACAGACAGCCCGGCCCCAGGCCCGCTCCCCGCCGCGCTCCCGCCCGGCCCCGGCCCCACCTGGCACCGCCCATCTGCGCCTCCCGGACACGGATGTGCGGAGCCGCGGCCCTTCCGCGGGCTGGGGAGGGCTGGGGCGGGTCCTT